GACTGTGGAAGGGCAAGGAACTTGGGCATTCCCCAGCAGGGGGCACTGAACACTGAGGATGGGAGCCCCCCTGCTGGCCCAGGGGTTCGTTAATCCTTTAGTCTGTGGATGGTGGGGGTCCGGGGGTCTTTGGAGAGGGGCCAGGCAGCGGGGTGTAGCGGTAGGAGGCACCTGGGAACAGCTGTTTGCCAGCTGGCTTGGGAGAGTTCAGTGGTTTACCACCCAGGACAGCTGTGCTAGGGGCCAGGTGCTGATTCACCGGGCTAAGAGCAGGAGGCTTGCGCCGCTCTGGTGAGACTGCCCCCTACAGGTGTGCAGAACGTGCCTGTGTGGGGTGCTTCTGCAGGCTGGCAGTGGGACGGTCCAGCTGGGGAGGGCTCTGGCTGGCAGGGAGCAGTTCCGGGAGTCCATTTCGCTTACTCACCTTATGGCTCTTCTTGGGCACAAACCCTAAACAGTGATGGGTCATGAAGACGAAGTTAATGACGAAATAGAGGAAGGAGAAGCAGCTATGCAGCCACAGGACCTTACTCCTGCCAAGAACAAGACACAGGAGGGGTGAGACCATCCTCTCCCACCCCATCCGGTTCTCCCCTGGGCCACCCTCTGGTGCATCCAGACACTGGGGCACCTTGGAAGGGGACGGCCATGGTAAGAAGCGGGTGCCCCATGTGGGCTGCTAAAGGCTAACGTTTGTTGAGTGCTTCCTATATGGCAGACCCAGGCTGGGACTAGATGCTTTATGTACATTTCTCACTAGACCCTAACACCATATGAGGGTGGTACTGTGACTATCTTCATTTGATCAGAGTGGCGGGTGGCCTGCCCGAGGTCACTCCTAGCCGGGGCAGCCCTGGCAGGTGAGCCTGGGCAGAGGAAGTGCTTCGACTCCTCACTGCTATGCTGTGCTGCTGGCGGCCGCAGCTCAGGCTCCCATGGCTGCCCAGCAGCCCAGGCGGAGGGGTCATCTGACCTCTGTGGCGAGGGACAGGGGGTCACACTCGCGTCCAGAGGGAGGAGGGCCCGGCGGGTTTGCTCTGCCTCTATGGGGTAGGAAGGGCGGTGGCACGCAGGCTTTGGGCTCAGATGATGCTGTCCCGGGGCATCTGGCCAAGCTGACTGTTCAGAAATAGGGCCCACCTTATTTGGTGTGGTCTGAGGAAAGAAAAGCTGTGTCGCTTCAAAATATCTCCTCACCACTCATCCCAGTGCCTGACATTTCACGTAACATCCCCCTCCAGCTAGGTGTCTCAATCTTCCTTTCCTGAGAGCCGGCAAGTTTATACGGTCTCTAAAGAACATTCCTGCTTTCTGCCAAT